CTCCCCGGGGAGAGCTTCGGGACGGGCAACGCAGCAACTGGTGGGCGCCGCGCCTCTCCGCTCTCCGCGCGGGCCTGGCAGATACAGCTAATCAAGTGGAAGGACTGCGAGCACGCGCCAGACCCCCCGGGGGGGGGGGGAGGGGGACGATATGGACCACCCGAGCGTCCTGTTGAAGAGGAGTCCAATCGTGTCATTGAAACGAGTATGCTTTTTATTTCTTGCGCACAATCACATCGAAATAACAATGACTTGTATGTATGGTCGCAAGCGCAAGTTTGCAGGGGTGTAAGAAAATTTTGAGTTTTAAAAATATGCCTTTTCATAAGCATTTAATTACTAATCCTGTAACACCTTTTAACGGTGTGCCTACTTGATAACTTTCTTTTTAAGCTCCAGTGAGCATGCTCACCCATGAACGCACATGTCATGCTTTGCGTGTTATAAATGTCATTAAAACCTGTCTGTATGTGTGTGTCCGTATTCGTGTATTTTGGAAGGCGAGGGGAAAGGGGAAGGGGTGCGTACAAAGGTAACAGATACTCGTTGTAATTGTTTCATTTTTCGTTTCGTTTTACCTTGTTATTTCATTTTCGTTTCGAAAGGCGACCGTGAGAGACAGGCAGCAGGGGGGCGGACGCGGACGAGACCGCGCGCGTTGGTTTTACTTTTCAAGAACCCCCACCCCCGTCCCCTCCCCCGCTCGCCCGCGGCGGTCGCGGCCGTCAGCCGAGGAGGACTCCGGTGGGAGTATCCGGTGGCGCGGGCCTCTCTGCTGCACCCGGACCGTCCCGGACAGCGGGCGGGAGGAGAGGTTCGTGACGGCGGCCATCACCAAGTCGACGGCCCCGCGGCGCTTTTGCAAGTCGTCGCACGGCGAAATGCGATATCGCGCGCTCCACCGGACAAACGCACCGGCGGCCTGCTTTTGTCCCGCTTATTCGTCACCAATGATATGGGGGGGGGGGGATTTCATCCCCCGTGTCCCCCCATGGTGGTCCGACAACGACGCTATAGTCATTCTACGAATTAAAATGTAATTCCCTTGCGCACAGGCGCTCGCATCAGAGAATGCGGCTGGGGGACAATGGTAAATAAGCACAATACGTATACTCTAAAATAAATATGAAAGGACTTTCATATTGTTCATCGGATGCGTTTTTGTGCACGTCCTAACCGGATGAAGGTTTCAATCTACCAGGTAAAGAATAATTGGCATTGGCATCCCTTTAATGGACAAGTATTATTTTTTTCATGAACAAGATGCAAACTCGTCACTTAGATGTCACTAGATTCAAATTTGCATCCGGTTGCGATGTACACAAAATCGCATCTGTCTCTGTAGGCCATAAAAATTCCATTCAGATTTAGAGTGTACGACATGATCCCCAAGGAGAAGGTCGGGAGGTTTCGGTTTAAAAAAAAGATAAATAAAAAAAAAAGTGTACGACAGCACACGAGAGCGCACGAGAGCTCGGACTTTCGGCGCTAGCCGCCTGCCTGGGTCACCTGCCCAGCCGGAAAGGGCAGGCTGCTGTTCGTCTCGTCACGCACAAGAGTTAAAGGAAAAACAAACCATAATTGTCACACTGCAGTTTTTGTTTGCGTTCTGCAAGGAGGCAGCAGCGGTACATGTGCCAAATTGATAGATCCCTCTTCCGGCCCACATCGTATACCTCCCTCTCCCCTCC